TCTTTCCCTTTCTTGCTTTCTATCCTTCTCTCTTCCTTTTAAGACAACAAGTCAACTGTAGTTTTTGAGTTTTTAAGGGATAAAAGATAACCCCATCTCAGGATCAACCCTTCCACACAAAGTTTTCAATTACAGAAGGTGAAGTCAAAGAAATGGAAAGACTTGTGTCAAAAGTTAGTTATTACAGAAGGTGAGGTCAAAAAAATGGAAAGACTGTTAGGTTTTTTAATTTATTATTTTCCTTGGAGAATGAGTCGCTAAATTCGACCTGTCTTGTTCATCGTGTGGATCTGAAAACCTGAAATTTATATTTTAAAAATATTTTTAAAAAATTATTTATTTATTATTTTTAAAAAATTATTATTTTTTATAATTTCATATCATTTTATGTGTTGATATTAAAATAAATTTTAAAAAATATTATCTCAATATATTTTTAAATAAATAATAATAATTATCAACAGATTAATGTTAAATATTTAGTTAAATTGAATAAGATAAAATTTGATTAACTAGGTTATATTTTTAATAATTTAGTTAATTAGTTAAAACTTAATTAAAAACGAATCAGTTGAAACCACAAAAAAAAAAAAACATAGTTTTTTGAAATTGGAATCTTGTAAGTTAAATTGAGCTTCTCTTTTTTAAAAAAACAAAAAATTACATCATATAAATAAAAAAACAGTATAGTTAAAAATTTATTTTAAAAAATAATGTGAATTGAAAAATTACAAGTTTCATCTATGATTTTAAAGTCATAGATGTTTTCTTTAAAAGAAAAAAAAATGTAGTTAAGATAATTTTATTAAAATTTTAGAAGCTATTTTTAATTTTAATTTTAATAAATAATTAAATATTATCTATATTTTTAAACTTTTAATTATCCACCCATCGAATAAGATAAAAGTCAAGTATTTTTTTCAAAAACGGATGGATAGGATGGGTCAAATTATCCTCCATTCAACCACGTCTATTTCTTTCTATTTTTTTTATAAAAAAATATTTTTAGACTAGTTTCTATATTAATCAAGATTAAATCCCTTGTTCAAACCACATTAAAAACTAGGTATTCTTGAAACAGATAAAAATATATTAAAATAATAATATTTTTTATTGTTTAAATCATTAAATAATAAGTTTATAAAAATATTTGTTAATAATACCATTAACTTTTATTTTTCTTATAAAAATATATTTATGTTCTAATGTCTAATAGTTTACTTGCAGAAGAAAGATTCATTAGTTCTTATTTATAATAAATTTTATTTTATTATTGACCATCTAATTTCAATAAAAAGTTACATGATAAGATATTGCCTTACAAAATTTTTAATGTTTATTTTTTAATAAATATGTTAAAAAAATTGTAACAACTATGTTTTTTATTTTTGCCTTTTACTTTTTCTACACTCAACTTTATCATTTTTTTATTGATAATTATTATTTGAAATAGCTTTAAATGAATGATTTTCTTGTAATTATTTAAATAGAAACATTGAAACATGTATTTAAAAAATGTAGTATTTATTGATTGTATGATAGTATTAAGATTAATGTTACCACTATTTGATTTATGTACAAGAAATTAATATATACTATTATTGTAAGAATATATGATGAATACATAATTTATAGTTCTAAATCTTATTTAGATTTTTTTAAAATTAAATATTGTAATCTTTTCAATGCACCCCCATAGTATGAGATATTTATGGGGAAATTTTTTATCTTTTCACTATTTATATTTATATGATATCCTCTCTAATTTGTTGTATGATAATTTGTTATGTATATAATGGATGATTAGAATTGTTTTTTCCTTTTTTAAGTTTTGACGTGTTTTTAAATTTATTAATATGATATTTATTTTTAAGTTTAATTTTTATGTTTTGCAATGTTATTTTAATGTTATTTTATTAAGGTGGATAATAGGTATCATCCTATTTTAAAAACAAAATTTATAGAATAGTATTTTGCATTATTCACTTGTAAAAAGTCTTATTACCTTTCGAAAAAAGTTACAGCTTCGTTGAATATAAAAGTCAGGGGATAATTCTTGCATCTCCAAAGGGTTATATTTCTTCCTCTTCGAAAGGATCTCTTTCGGGATAGTCACCGACCTGAAATCATATGGAAGGCTTCAAATCGATGAACAAAATGAGCGGTTTGTATAGAGCATAGTCCTGTACAAACCTTCACTTTGTCTGGCCCATTCATAGCACCATGAAGTGGAGGACAGTCAAACTAGCGTATTCCTTCTACCCTGAAAAAATGATCTAGTAAGAAATAAATAATCGGACGCGGAGCAGAATGTTCATTGAGGTAAATCTTGACGGCCTATAGGCATAGCACAATGCCAACAATATAAACCAGGAGACCAAAATTGAAGACTGCTAACTTTGGTGAAAATTGTTTAGGATTCCAGCAGTAATCACCTGAACAACAATTATCGTAAGTTCTTCAAATGTCAATCGAACAACTTTGAGATATTCAGCGATTGATGGATCTCCTCGTTGAACAAGAGTCAAAGACTCCTTGAGTTGCATGACTCTTGTGCGAGAACGATTTGCATATAAGCGAGAGAGTCTAGACACAAGCCCTCTCACACTTACTGGTCTGCAGTCAAGAGACTACTTCGCTATCTCAAAGGAACTCTCTATTATGGCTTGCATCTTCGACGTGCTTCGTCAATGGTTGTTACTACATATTTTGATACTAATTGGGCTGGCAATATGGATGACAGCACCCCCACCACCGGTGATTAAATGATATTTTTAGGGTCTAACCCAATACCCTGGAGCACAGAAAGCAATGTGCTGTCGCTTGTTCTTCAACTGAAACAGAGTACCCGTGCATTAGTTGCCACAGCTTTTGAAATTGGGCGGCTATCTTCTCTTTTTAGGGAACTTTGTATTCCCATTCAGCGATCACCTCTCATGTTATGTGGTAACATTGGAGCAACTCAGTTGAGTCTCAATCTAGCCTGTCATTCTCGTAAGAAACATGTTACCATTGACTTATATTTTGTTCGTGAATATGTTGCAAAAGGGCTACTGAATGTTCATCATCAATTGGCTGATTTAATGACAAAAGCTCACCCTCGCTCTCGTTTTGAAGCACTTAGATTCAAGATTGGCATCAATGATGGTGAGTCAATCTTTCAGGGGCGTGTTAAGGATTCCGGCAGTAATCACCCTGACAAAAATCATGGCAGCGATCGGCAATCACTTCAGTAGTAGACAACAACCATGGCAGCAATCAAGGTAGATCTCAGCCATGATTATTCCAGCAATCACTCCAGCAACAATCAAGACAGATGTCAGTCACAAGAGCTGCAGTTACAATTCCCAGCCCATGACAAGCTCATTATTCTCCCATAATTGTAATACCAAGTAATTTGTGTATATATGTAGGCACACTGTATCAAATTGTAATTGCTTGTAATTTAATGCTTTTTATATACAAACAAACTTTTAAGAAACTTAACGATATTTTATTTTGTTTGTTTTCAGTAAATTTCTTATGATATCAACAACGGAGTGAAATTTCCAATGAATTTTTTTTATTATGATATTATTGATAAATTTATTCAAGTTAATTATTGATAATTTTTTTATTTGCTTTATTTGTTGTGAGATTTTTTATTATATTAGTAAATTAATTAAATTAATTAACTCCAATTAAGTTAATAACTTAAGTTTTCTTTAATTGGCCTAAACATTCTTCTTTTCTATTAAAAAGATTTTACCCGGGCCATGATCTTACACGAGCCGACCTATCTTGTATATCCATAATTGCCAAGCCAACTTATAAACTATATCTTGTACGTATTTTTTTTTTTTTAATTATTATTGTGATCTGACGGCTGTTTTATTTTGCTCGTAGCCGCCAAACAGGGTGTAGCATTCTTGGGACCCCTCTTTCCTCTAAATAAATGTTCCCATTTTAGCTCCTTCCAGTGGCGCCATTGTTTGTCCTCCTCAAATCAGTCCAAAACCCTAAATTTCAGTCTTATAATGTCATCTTCGCTCTCTTTCAAACCCTGTTTCAGCTCTCTCTATACTGAAGTCAGCAACAACCGGGTGAGAAAGATTTCATTTTTCTTTTTTTGTGCGTGTGGGTGTTTTGTTTATGGACTCAATGAGCTAGTGATTCTTATTTTTTGGGTGTAATGATTTCGCAGGGTTTTGGAAGTGGGTTTTTGCCTACAAGTTTTTGGGTTAAAAAGGACTGCAGTTTAAGGGGGAAGAATTTGATTATAGTAAAGAAATTAGAAGTGAATTGCTTGAAAGATAAAGATATGGATGTGAGAACTTCAGCTTTGGTTGATGGTGTGGCAGAGTGTTTAAATGGTATGTGTTTGTTTTGTTTTTGTTGTTATTTGAATTTATGAGCTTATTGTGTTTGCAGTTTTTAATGTAAAGTTTGCATCTTTTTACAGAAGTTGAGATTAAGGAACCTAGTGTTTCGACAATATTGATGAATTTTGAGAACAAGTTCGATCCTTATGGTGCAATGAGTACACCACTTTACCAAACAGCTACATTTAAGCAGGTATTGTTGAAAGGGAAGCAACTTTATGTGTTGTGTGTTACAGATGACGAGGGAGGGGAAAAGTTTAAGTGTAATGTTGGTGAAGTTTTGATGTATTTGTCATGTTCATAACGAAATTGGGGAAAGAAAGTAACAAGTTTGGATTGCATGTGATGAGAATAGGAATAGAGAGACATGGACATTAGTCTAAGAAGCTTGTGGAAGTATACTTTTGACATGGACTTAGTTCCCCTTTTAATGTGCTATGTCCTTATTCGTATGGCATAACACTTGCTTAGCATCATTTCATTTTGGGGGCTTTAATGAGTGTTTTTTTTAATGCCTTGTATTGCAGTCATCAGCAACAGAGAATGGTCAATATGATTATACTAGAAGTGGAAATCCTACAAGGGATGCCTTAGAAAGGTATTTTTGGTTTGTTTGTTGGTGTGTATAATGCTGATGAAGCAGTTTTCACAAGTATTAGAAGGATAGCCTTGGTCATTTCTCCTTGCATCTTCTTCCTTCTAAGCTTATTTCTGTTTTTATTCCTTTTTTTAGCCTCCTGGCGAAGCTAGATAAAGGAGATCGGGCATTATGCTTCACAAGTGGAATGGCTGCTTTGGCTGCTGTCACTCATCTTGTTGGAACAGGTGCTTTTCACTCTTCTTTTGTTTTTTTTTTTTTTCCTTCTTTTGTTCGCACCCACAATCTGTTTTTTTAATCTACCATACCACATTACTAGCTATGTCTCAAAATATCCCCAGTCCATTATGGTCCGGAGATTGTAATAGGCTCTAAACATTTGGCAACTGTAATTACATAGGTTTGAGTTTATGAGTTCCATACTCAGCACATGTTTGTGCAAATTTGTATTTGTAGAATGTCTGCTTTGTTCATAATATGGCCAGAAATAGTTAATCTTGAATTTGTGGAATATTTCATGTTAACTTTTTTCAATACCATCTTAGGCCAGGAAATTGTTGCTGGAGATGACATTTATGGTGGTTCTGACCGATTGTTGTCACAAGTAACTCCGAAGGCTGGAATTGTGGTTAAGTTAGTCTGGTTTCTTTTTTCTTTTTGTATATCATGATCCTGTTGTAACTGAAAATATAAGATACTTATGCTTAGCAATGCGCAGACGGGTAAATACAAGTGATCTACAAGAAGTTGCATCTGCAATTGGTCCCCAAACAAAACTTGTGTGGCTAGAGAGCCCAACTAACCCTCGTCAACAAATTTCTGATATTCGTGTAAGAGTCACACTTTTTCAAAGTTAGGAATTTGTTTGTTAATAAGCATTCAGGTTCATTGTTATTGTGGTAGAATATCCTAATTTGACTGTTTGGAAGTTAGGCTATACAGAAGTGTTTGCTATTGATTTTTTATATTTTTTTATTATGCATATGTGAATAAATGCATTCTGGTTATCCTGCTTGATACTGTGCAAAAAATGGTTATGGTTGGTTTATAAAAATGGCTGACCAATTGTAACCCGTGATGCAGGGATATATTGTTCATAACTATTCTCCCTGTCTTTTTGGTTGTCTGTTCTGAATAGCCATCAATTGTTCTTCTATTTTTATTGTTTATTTTTATTTACAATGGTTTGCCGATCTTGTCAAGGTTTCAGAAAATTGCAGAGATGGCTCATGCACATGGTGCTCTTGTCTTGGTAGATAATAGTATTTTGTCTCCTGTATTATCACAACCGCTGGAACTTGGAGCAGGTATGGCCAATGCATTGTGGTTGTAACAATTAGGAACTGCAGTTCTGCCTAGTGCTTAGTTTTTAATTATTCATGTTGCTTGCAGACATTGTGATGCACTCAGTGACTAAATTTATAGCTGGACATAGTGATGTCATGGCAGGTGTGCTTGTGGTAAAAGGGGAAAGGTTATGGCTCTAACTTATGTATTTCTTAGTGCATTTGTAAGGGATGTCTTTTGTTTCCTTTGCTATCTTTAAGTTTAGAAAGTTTGCTCTCTTCAGAGCTCTTATCTGTCTTTTCAATCAGGGTTACAAACTGCTTGAGTATAAAGAAACCCATTGGCTAAATACCATTCTACTGCATTATGTGTATTGTTTGACGTATTTCACTTGCCTTTTTTCTAGCCATTTGTGATATAGAGTTGAAGTGCCCTATCACTTGTGGTCTTGTGGTTCTTTGTTAACATTGATCTTGTGATTGGAGAAAACCTGTTTGCATACCGTACTTTAATGCCTAGCAATTTATTGTGTTTGCAAACAGTTTTTTCTGTCAAGCTGATGGTGTTCCATATGATGAAGTTGTTGTTTTCTTTTTCCCTTGAGAGGATATAGTTGCTATATTCATAATTCTGTATTGGAACTGTTCTGCATGACACGCTTTAAGTTGGCAAACTTAGTATAAATACTTGAGGTCATTATTCTCCCTTTGCCAGTATAAATATCTGCAGTGACCACCTATGTAGACTTCATTTCTTTTAAACATTTGTAATTTATTTATTTCTGAAGTCTTTCCTGCATTACCAGCTTGGCAAGAGATCTGTATTTCCTCCAAAATGCAGAAGGCTCTGGGTTAGCACCATTTGACTGTTGGATTTGCTTACGAGGCATCAAAACCATGGCCTTACGAGTTGAGAAACAGCAGGTGCTAATTTGAATTCACTCATATTTATTGTATGTTGTACAATCCGATGGGTGGAAAAGCTGAGGTCAAACTTGACCAAATAGTTTCTTGTGAATATTCTGATGACCTATCTGTAACAACCCACTTAGTAGGATCTTTGCCTTTTGGCAGGAGAATGCACAGAAAATTGCTGAGTTCCTTGCAGCACATCCACGGGTGAAGAAAGTAAATTATGCAGGTCTTCCTGGTCATCCTGGACGTGATTTGCACTATTCTCAGGTGTGCCTGATGTTAGACTTGGCTTCCATACTAACTGTGTTCTTGCAGTGTGAAACCTTTTATATAAGAAAGTGTTTTTATTAAAATCTCTTGCAGGCAAAGGGTGCAGGATCCGTGCTTAGCTTTCTCACAGGATCACTGGCTCTCTCGAAGCATGTTGTTGAGACTACCAAGTATTTCAGCATAACTGTCAGTTTTGGTAATCATTCTTCCTACTCAAAGCTTCTCATGACGTGAAGATATTTTTGGGGGTAATTTAAAATCCAATTGATAAAACCCCTGAGATATCTGCATGTTGAAAGATGATGTTGGAGATACAGACCACTATTGTCTTTGCATGTTAGAATTTGAATGCATGTCCAATGAATATGCAACCAGAGATAATGAAGCTTGAAAAAAAAAAAAAAACCACCAGAGGGCTTTTGGAAACAGATTGTTCCTCATGTGTATTGAAATCTTAGGTCATGAGAGTACTAGTTTTATGTTATGGTTTCCACACCTCATAAGACAGGTTCAGTTGATATTCAATATTACCATAACCTATGCATCTCATATTTCTTAAAAGCTAAGGTTGTGAATCTTGAAAGTTCCATGAGAAGGCATTCATTTGCTCCAATATATGCTTGCAGATTTAATGTTTGCCTCATGTTGCGTAGCCTCCAATTTTAAAATCCAATCTGTTAACAGTATATAGATGTGGATTGTCATGTTGCAAATCCTGTCTGATCAGATTGAAATGTGATCATTGTGAATGTTTTGAGAACCGATGTTTTTTAGCTCACACTTGGTTGCAAGCTGCCTCCTTACTTTGTAATTGTCTATTGTAGGGAGTGTAAAATCCCTTATAAGCATGCCCTGCTTCATGTCCCATGCAAGTATACCAGCTGCAGTACGAGAAGCCAGAGGTCTCACTGAAGATCTTATTCGTATCTCAGTGGGGATAGAGGATGTCAATGATCTGATTGCTGATTTAGACCATGCATTAAGAACTGGACCGTTATAAATGTTTGAGCGTCTCCAAATTTAACCCCAAATTGTACGCCAGCCTCCCCCCTGCCTTTTTACCTGTAACAGGCAAATAATGCACAGTGATTTGAATTATGTTGAGACTTTATAGCATAATTATTTGTTACCTGGGGTGTTGAAATATTGGATGGTGTTGTGTTGCTCGTGTTAACAATTCTACTGTATGCATTCAAAACAATAAAACTTGGTAGAGCAGCTTTCCAGCTGCTGCTTGTGTGATTTGTTCTATCCAATTCTATCCATGGTATATGCAATTAACCCAAATAGAAACAGATCAAAACTACAAGATGGTGTTTGTTTTGCTCAGTAACAAAGGGCGAGGCAATTAGCATTTAGCTCCAAGACTGTCCTTGTAGATTAACACCCATTGTCCAATTTTGGAAATGCACCTTTCTTGGGTATGCATTATAGCAGCCAGTAAAAGATTTTGAGGCATGAATGAGTGAAACGTTTAAAGATTAATGATCGGTTAGCGAGGCAACCAAGCATTGATGATTTTGACTTTACAGGCAAAACGAAGGAGACAAGCAAAGATTTCAGCCAGATATCTGTCCCCAAAATGGAAAATGCCAAACATTTTGTCCTGCAGAAGGTGCTTCGGGGAAACTCCACCTTCACACAACCATTGATTGATTTTGTTTCTTTGCCAATTGGACTGCCTAGTTGTTTTCTTAGCTGTACAGAGCCCTCACTTTGCGAAGCCAGTTTTTGTATGACTGGAATTTAAGGGGATATGAGGCATTATCCAATTATGGAGTCCAATCATTGAGCCACCCTCAAATAAGTAGTATATGATATCCACCATGGTTGTTTTATTTATGGTCACAAAATATGGTATTTTTATTTTATTTTTTGACAAAAAATATTGGCAAACACTAAAAAACAATAATTTAATATTTTTCTAAATGAAACATATTCTTAGAATGCACTTCAAAGTATGAATTACCACACTCTTTAACACTCCCTTTTTTAATTTTATTTTCTGAAGTTTTTTAGATGTTTTTATTTATCTTTACTGTTTACTGAGAGAATTAAAGTATTCTCATACGAGGTTTTATAAGCTAAGAACTTTGTTATTATTATCATACTATAATTAGTATATTTATATAATTTTTTTTAATATTTCCATTAAATTCAAAATTAAAATAAAATAGAATCAGAAAATCTGGGAATTTTCTTTTGATTTTTACGCATCAGCTGAGTTGTTTTCAATTACGGAGGAAAATCTATCTTTGGCATTCATGTTCATCATCACCCTAAGTAAACAGGTTTAGAAATTCCAAAGGGTCAACTTATAAAGTACAATCCTTTAGTCCTTCACCAAAACTCAACCAATCATCATATATAACGACTTCCTTTTACACCTATATATATATTATTTACTCTCAATGAACTCAAATATTTATAAATTCAGTTGCTAGCTTGGGTCATTTTATAATCATTTCAATAAAAACAAATCCCATAAATTGATCACCATAGTTATCTCCTCCAATAATAAATGTATATTTTCTTTCAACAAAATATAATAATAATAATAATAATAATTAGAATAACAATTTTATATTTAAAGAGACATGCTTACTTTTTTTGTTTTTCTGAATTTCGAGGAAGAGATTGATATTTACAAAAAAAAAATTATTAATATTTTTTAAAATATATTAAATTGATATAAAATACAAGTATTTAAAATTAAATAAAGAACTAACTTAGTTTAAATTAACATATAAGGAGATTAAAATGACCCTTTATTATTAAAAATAATGATAATAATAATTAACGTGGACTTTTAAATAAATTCTTAAAAGAAGACTAAATTTTGAAGGAATTAATAAATTAGATACCTCAAATCGAATTATTTGTAATCATTACCAATTTATTATTTAATTATTTTCTAACTCCAAATTTAAATTCACATTATAAAAGAAAGAACAGCAAACTTGGTAAAAGAAAAATCCAAAAGTTGACCAACATTTGACCAAGCAGTACACCAACAAAAACTAGAGAGTCCCAATCAATCACCACCACCTGATCTCTTCACTTGTCCCCACAACTCCCACGATTATCCACGTGGCATGATTCCATGCTTCTTCCCACCCACAAAAATAAAAATATTCCTCTTCATTACCAGATTAAAAAAACAAAAGCAGACACCATTATCGATCCATAAAAAACCTCTGCTTCTCTCTTTGTTATCTCTTTCTCTCTTACAAAATTTCCAATTTTTAAGGTAGATTAATAATAATTATTATTACTATTATTATTATTATAATCAAACGTTGTATTTTATCCGTTTATTATTATTATCATTTTTTCTTATATTTATTTAACTGTCTGCATTTATTTTCTACTTTTTGTCGAAATTAATGTGTTTTTTTCTCTTCTTTAATTGTTTGTTTGTTTTGATATTGTTGTTGTTATTGTGATTCTAGGGTATTGGTTTTTTTGGTGAATTATGGTGATCAAATTTTTCTTTTTGTGATTTTGTTGAATGGTGACAGGGTCTGTTTGGTTGATGAGAAAATTGATAGATATGGGAGGGGAAGTGTTTGGTTTACGAGAAAATTGAGGGGGGGATGGTGTTTGGGCTTGGAAAAGCTTTGAACTTGGTGCGAAAGGATTAAGCTTTACAACCTTTTTTTTTATTATTAGTTTTTTTAATTAGGGACTTGGGAGGTTATGTATGGACCTGAATTATTAAGGAGAATTATAGATGGATGGATTGGAATACAATTCTTGTGTTTGAACTGTTTTTCCATTGTTAATGGTTGTTTCAAAACTGTGAGATAAAGGACAAGTTGTGTGTTAAAGTGTATTGTTAAGCTTGAAAAGGAATGAACTTGCGTGAGAGAAGGATTGGAGATTTTTTTTTCTTCGTTGTGTTGTAATTAGGTGTTTAGTGGTTTAGGATTAATATATTATTAAGGAAAATTAGTGCTAGATTCAATGGAATTCAAACTTAACCGTCAACTGTTTCTTAAATGCTTAGTTGTAATTTGATTTTGCTGAGGTTTATTTGCGGTGTTCTAATTGTTATTCGTTATTTAAGTAATTGGATGCTCTGCAATGGAAATTTTTTCTGACACACAAACACCTTTTTTAACCTTTTTCCTTTTGCTTTTGGGTGCTCCTGGCTGCAGGATTTACTGAGTTCTAGTATTTATTCGAATCCGCACTGCTTAATCCTTTGCTTAGGTGTGAGTACCTGGAGGATCTGATGCTAAATTACATGGTTAATTGACTTTTCTTTTTGCTTTATTGGCATAGATGATTTTGATGGAAACTTATCTCTGGTTTTTTGTTTAACATTCGATAACATGGGAGGACTAATTCGTGAATATTGATTCTTGTGTATGCTTGTTTCAGTTTAGACCCTTTTTCATCAAATCTAATATTTCTTGAAGCCTCGAGGAAATAGCATGTAAAATAAAATAGACTAATGAAGGATATTGTCACATAGAAGGTTATTCAGCTTGTTGTCCTTTTCATTTCCAATATCAAGAGATGTCAAGCGGACCAGTGAGAAGGGTCTTACCAAAAGACATACAAGTTGTAAGTTGTAGATCTTTGAATTTTAGAGTTGATGAACTTTTGATATGTGCTATCTTGTTTTACTAATTTTGGCAGTAGAATTATTTTGTATCAAGGAAGCGGCCAATGAGGATAGTTGAAAAATGCTAATTTTTGTTGACAAAATTAGTTTTGACCTTTGGCTTCCTCAAGCACCTTGTATAACAAATGTAGTTCCAAAATGTTTTCTCTTGATAGGCTACTTGACCCTGTGTTGGAATTGTTCTAGTTGAATTTCACGGAGATAGATGCTGGAATTTTTTAACTGATTACATGTCTTCATTGCTAGATAACAGTGTTTTATATATAACCACCATCAGCACATTTTGATTCCTTCCTAAGGCCTTTCCCTGATAAATACTGAAATGGAAACTTGATTTTAATATAGAAATCCAGGTCCTAATTGGAAATTCTTCTTCATGTACTGTAAATTTGGAAGTATTAGCAGGCATTAGTCACCTGTGTATGAGCTTAAATCTCAGGTTTTTAAGTTAAAGGTCAAATAACAGACAACATTTTCGTTGTCTTTCCATGCAAGGGTTAATGATACCCAGAGGGAATGCATCTTGTCTATAGAATTTTGGGAGTTCAAATCATTATCTTGGGCTAAATATGTGCAGGTCCATTGGCCTTATTTTTAACACTCCTCTAGCCATGCATGTGATAGCTTTGCTTTATTTTTATGTTGGTGACTCAGTAGTACTTTTTCAGTGCTAGCCATTTAACATTACTAATTTAGAAAAAAATAGTCGTAAATAACCAAGGAGAATAGGACAGTCTGGATATCTGCTATGCACACAATACCCAGTGTGTCCATAAAATATTTTTATGTACAGCTGTTAATTAGAGATTGTCTCTCATCTGTATCTTTTTCCTTGGGAAAAATGGGTTTCTGCATCAGAACTCTTTTCATGGGGTTGAGGGATCATTAAATAATCTTTTAGACCTTGACATAACTATGCAGTCATAAAAAATCTCCTTTGGATTATTGATGTTTTTTTTCCAGGTGCAAAATCTCATAGAGCGGTGTCTTCAACTGTACATGAACCAGAATGAAGTTGTGGAAACGTTGTTGGCTCAAGCAAAGATTGAGCCTGGTTTCACTGAACTTGGTAACAATTAACACTGGAACTCCTTGTTTATGTGGTACAGAAAGTTTAATAATGAGTAGATTCTACGCTTACTATTTCCTACAGTGGCACTTTTGAGGGTTTCTTATTGTCTTCTTGATCCCTTGAAAGTGCTGCTTAATGTAGTGTTAGGATAACTGGTTATGAGTTTTCCCACCATTTTTAAGCATTATTAGATTATTTGTTCTTTATGTGATTATTTGACAAACAGTATGTAGCACAATGCTAATTGAGCAATTTTTCAAGTGACTATCAGTTCATGAATGGAACCACTAGGCATCATCAGTCCGCCTGTCTGTCTGGATGGGAAGTGTCACATCCATTGGTGAATTCCTCAATTGTTCTAACTCCACTGAATGGAATTTAAAATTCTTTTAAGTATTCAATCACATGGAATAAATGCACAAGGACTGGAAAATAAATAAGTTGAAAAGTTTGGGACCGGATATTGGTTTAGCCATTTTGATTGACATTTTGGGAGAGTTCATTTAAACTTAAATGGAGTTATCTCCAACTTTTTTTTGTAAATAGTAGGTCAAAAGTGTTTTTCTGAAAAAGTTGAACTGGCAAGGCTTGTTGATTATGGTTCCTTTTCTTTTCCCCTTGTTTCCATTGTTACATACTTCTAAACTAACATTGTTTAGCTCGGGAACAACTTCAAGTTAGGTGATCTTGTTTCATTCTCAAACCTGTAAATTTATTTTCCAGTTTGGCAAAAGCTTGAAGAAGAGAATCGAGAATTCTTCAGGGCTTATTATCTGAGGTTGAAGGTAAAGCAACAAATAGAGGAATTCAACAAGCTGCTTGTGCAGCAGGCTCACTTGATGCATGACCTAAATTCAACCAGAGTTGCCCCAATGCCTACTTCTAATGGATTTCATATCTCACCATGTAAGACTGCTTTTCTTCCCCATGAACATTTCACTGTCTGATCTGTAGGCATCTACTCATCAAGAACATTGTTATAAATAAGTCTTCACATAATTGGGCTCAGCTTTGCAGTTGTGCTTTGTAATTGTTATGATTTGATTTCAGAATCATTATATAACTTACAGAAAAACTGTTTGGTTGGAAACAAAGCAAAGTTCTGTAAGTGAGAGATTAAAGCAGAGGAGAAATGGTGGCCTTCTGTGGGCTTTTGTATCAATATCCAAGTTCATGATGCCTATTTCAAAGTTTCCCAAGTAATAGTAATTACTGTACATTAATAACAAGTAGCCAGCAATTTAAATTTCTTTATCAGACTTGCTACTGGCCATTTGCCCCACTCTCAAATGAATTTGTAGGGTATGGGAGGGGACTTGCTGGAAAAGCTGGAGTTATCAGTTTTTTTCATAGTGGAAAGATGTTAAAGATGGTTTCCTTGTTTTCTTCCTTAAAAATAGATTTAAAAAATCTCTTTCTCTGTCAATCTGTATTTGTGGAATGTGCTATTTTGTGAAGTTTTGCTTAGTAGTGTGGTAGATAACACAGTTTCTTTCCTTCCTTTTTTGAATTTCAATTTCAATTTTTTGGAAGTCTTTTTTGGATATTTGCTTTAAGTATGCATTTTTGTTTAGATGGTTTCTTGACATTTGTTTTGATTGCCGAACTATGTTATCTGAATGTCCCGATCAAAATGATATCATTGTGCATTTACAAGGATAATTTGATTTTGAATCTTTATGTAGTTTCTTGGTGGAGCATGCTTTCTCACCTGTTATCCCTTATATGATCCCTGCTTTTTATGGCACCTGGTTTTGGCTTCTTTGTCAGTGCACCAGAATACAGCATGCTATGGTCCGGATCATACAGGACCAACCTTGAAGCCAGAGAGCATGCATCACCCTATCGGCTCCAGTTTGACAAATGCATATACTAATGGTGGATCATCATTGCACTCAAGTATGCATGCTGCGGTTGAAATATCTGCTCGTGCCAATAGAATTGATGCACCTCCAAACATGCTTTCAATGCAGAGCTCAAACATTGGTTTGCTGCAAGGAATGAATGGGGGAATGATCAAATCAGAAGCTGGTTATTCAGGTACTTCCCCTTACATGTTTGGCGCTGATGGCAATGTCCTAGAAGCACGCCCATCTATTGCAGATGCATCTGTTGCATCTTTCAGCAGTGTAGACTCCAGTTCGCAAGCCTTGAATGAGTCTATTCTGGACGCAGACACTTCTTCATTTGGATTTTTAAGTCAGATTCCTCAAGTTTTCAGTCTCTCGGATCTGACAGCTGATTTTACCCAGAGTTCAGGTTTGTTGCCCCACCTTGTATCTCCCTCTTTTCTCATCTCTTTATTTTCCAATCCCTAACTCTCCCTTTGGCACACTTTTGCACAAGATTGCTATTTTAGTTGTTTGTTGGCCAACTGAAAAGTTAGGCAACAAACTTCTTAGAGGACTCGATTATGAGAACTCAGGTTGGTCATTGATTAAATTGGAGTCAGCTCTTAACTTGGGTCTTCTGTTGCAAGTAATTCTGTGTGGAACATTGAGTGGCGAATTTACAAGTGTTACAATTGTTTGTATTCTATGTTCAGAAATATTGGAGAACTATTCAAGATCACCTTTTCTAGCAGCAGACAATGATAACTTCCCAGATTCTCGTGAAAGAGAACATCCAGGTTTTTTTCCCCCTGGTATTGATAATATTTATTACATCAGAAAGGAGCAAGCTAATTGGTTGCCCTGATTTTACAGGAGATAATAGAAGGCTGGACTCCATATCAGAAGGCATGAGTTATGATGATTTTGGAAGTGAATAGTAGTCTTAGAATTTCTGTGGTGAGTTGTTCGTGTTGCTTTTTTATTTAATTTTATTTGAGTTGCTCGTGCTGCTAGTGTTTACTGGATGGTTATCAGTACAATTTTTTATCAGCAAAGCGTATGCTGCGATTCACCTCTGCTGTGTCGGAATTAAGTTCTTTCATGGTGATATTTCTATATATCTAAGACTGCTAGAAATGGTTTGTGTTAGCACATTCTTCATGTCATATTTGTTTGGTATGATATATTTATACTTCTAATTTTGGTTCTCATAATTTTACTTTTTCATAAAGATGGAAATGTGGAGATACTTCATGCTTAGAGTCATATCTTTGCCTTTCCTTTTTAATTTGTTAAAGCATTTATTTTCTTTATATTTTCATTTCTTTCTTTCACAGTTTTGTTATTGCAGGTCCAACTGCATCCCTAGTACAGGTTTTGTAAATAGCAATTTAGCTTGGGAGAAGCTTCCTATGTAGAAACCACTGGAGATATTGATTGGCGTGTAAAATTTCGCTGACTTCTGTATGTAGTGATGACTGTTGACAGTAGGATTGTTTAGGGTGAAAAAAAGAAGTTCAAAATAATGCAACAGTACGTTTTCTAGTACCATGAGAATGCATGGTAATAAGTTACACTAAATCTAGGTGTTTGCAGAAACATATATTTGCAGTTTGGTGTGATGATACAGTTGTTCTTGTTGATTGGTCCTTTGCCTTATGTAATATTGGGATTTCATTTTTGAATGAGATTCTGAATTTCATATAATTCTTCTGTCTTGGCATCAGATAATTTTTTGTAATGTAAGACAATAGTGCAGATCGGACTTTCCTCCTCGGGGGTCTTCTGTGTTCTTGGCATTGTAATGTAGGTACTTTTTAAAAATATTTTCTTGTTTCAAAATGCTAATTTTTTTATATCAATATATCTTGAAGCTTTTTTTTACGTGAAATATATTTTTAAAATGCACCTAAAAGTAGAAGCTATCACTCCCTAACATTGTATATATGTTTTTTTTAAAAAATTTATTGGAAATATATTAAAAAATATTTTATTGTTACTTTTTAAAATTTATTTTTAACATTAGGATATTAAAACAATTCAAAAATATTTTTTTTTAAATAATTTAAAAAAAAAACAGGATTAAGGATAATAATAACTTGGGGCCCCGTAGTTCACCGTGACAGTAATTTCTCTTGAAGCTTCTTGACTTGTGTTGGCCAAGCTTAATCTATTGTAACCAGAAATGCTTTCATATCTCACCAATCTAATGTTTTTATCTATTCTCTCTATTTCATTAATAATAATGATAAATTAGAGGACATGAAATGGGCGGAAATGATTTGAGATATACATGGATTAAAGTACTATATATGGTTGTTGATTTTTCAAGGACTGATCGATAAGTTTTGTTAAACCACAGGGGTTAAGCTACTCTAGTAGATTTGTTAACCATAGCTTTACCGGATATATATCTTACTGATAGATAGGTTGGCAAAAGAAAAGGCAAAAAAAAAACAGATGAACGTGGATTAGGAAATTAGCAGGTGGGAGTTTATGAACTATGAAAATATGCTCAGGGTTTGATGAACTTGGCAAATCGTCACGCTAGTCAAGGAACCTGAAAGGGATACCAGAACCCTTCCTTCTCCCGTTGCACAAACATCATCTTCTGATGATATTTGAATGTGAACACGGTTAGAGTGAGGGATACAGAAACAGACGAATAGATAGAAAGGGAAGACACATGTTTCAGGCTCAGCTACTAATATGGGCCTAAACTGCCAATCAGAATCAGTTCTACCATGGATTTCAGAGTCAAGTCACATGAAGATGCATTGATGACAGAAAATGACATTATACGGATTCTGCCAACAAACACAAGGACCCTTCTCTTTAAAGTCGGGAAACAATCTAACATGGTCCATACAAATGGTTGATTCTTACCGCAATCAAATTGATTTCACTTTATAAACTGTAATCTTTTTATTTTAATTATAAATTTTACACTCTATAATCCTAATTAGTCTGTGTACCTACTAGTCTTCAAAGTAAGGACGATTAGGATTTAACAATTATAAGGGCCTGTACAATTTATAATATTCATCGGATCAACTCCAAATTTAAGTTACAATTTTTTTTTTCTTATAGCTTAATTAGCAAAGACAAAATTGGAATGAAATATTTTCATGTAAAAACTGTATAGATGAAGCAACTCTATTCTACACTTCTGTTGAGCCTGTATTAACCAGCTTTAACATCTAGAAAGGGGAGAGAATATTATCTGAATTACATTGTAAAAGAGAGCTCCCCCTGATTTATCAGACCATAGTAGTAATGCCATTGTATCTAGGTCTGGCTCTATCTGGTGATAGCCCTTCTTCCATAGCCTTCCTCTTGTTATTGTTGGGCTGTAGTAGTAGTGCTGATGGTTGTGGTTGTGACTCAGGCTGTGGCCGTGGCTGTGGTGATGGCTGCTGCACTGGTTGTTGCTGCTCTTCTGACTGAATATCTGGAATTTCAAGCTCTTCTTGCTCTTCTTGTTTTTGGTTCTTGATTTTAGTTTTCATCATGTGAGGTTTAAGCCTATTCAAATCTGATAGTCTTACTGGCTTCAAGAAAAATTCATCGGCTCCCTCCTCTAAACATCTGTGTTATGGATGAATTATGCTCACTACTCAGTTTTATGACATCAAAAATCAAATTATAGTTTCCTTGTATTTTTTCCACAAAAGGCAAAAAAACATAATCCAATTCTAGCTTGGTTTGGTCTTTCACCTGGTGATCCTTGAAGGAACATTTTCAGATGACATGATCACTACAGGTATGTTTCTGAGAGATGATGATTCCTGCAAGATCAGAGGAAAAGGAATAAAAAAATATATAAGTCTCTTTAACCACCACTGTTTGATTTCATGGTAAATAAATGTGCATTAAAATCTTTGATGTGTGACATGACACGGGAAGTTAGCACACAGAAACATAGGAAATCTTTGAATATCTTGACCTAGATTTGTTTGGATACAAAATAGGTGGCAAAATATTCGTAATAGATCTTCTTTGAGATTCTCATGCAAGTGGCAATAATAGAACACATGTCGACAACCAATCAACTAACATCATTTAGACCCTGAAGATTTCTCAACCTGGGAAAGAATTTCCAAGGAACCCATTTTGCCAGTAATAGAAATGGATCTCAATGGGAAAGATTGAGGAAAAAGAAGGGAATATATGATTACTCAAAATGAAGACAAGAGAAAGGAAATGATAGAAAGCTTATACCTTTACTTTCTTGAGCAGATCATAGCCTGTCATGCCAGGCATACAGTAATCTGTAATAATAAGATTCACTTCCACTTCCTGCAAAAGCTCCAAAAAACAAGGAATAAAATCAGAAAAGATGAAAAATTATCAAGAAAGATGAGGTATCTCTACATTGAAGGAGGGGGGGTATTAAAAAAACTTCACCTGATGATTGCTAGGAGAAACATAAGGTGTGTCTGGGTTGCTTTGTTCATCTTCTTGTAATCCCAGAAATTTTAAGGCTTTGCTACCAGAATCAACTGTAGTAACTGTCATGATAAAAGAATCAGAACCCAACAAGAAAAACCATGTCTCATGTCATAAAAACCATTCCTTTTTTAACCAGAGAAAGTAAAGTCAGTACCTTGATAGGATGATGTCTTGAGAAGCCTCTCAATCAGCTTTCTATCTATTAAGCTGTCATCAACAGCTAAAACATGAAACTGTGAGTGTGAATCCCCTGTTATTGCCATTGCATCAAACTCCAGATCCAATATCACCTCAATATAGAGCGCAATAATACAGAAGAAGATTCTGGTTTTTGGTTTTGGTTATGCCATGTATTGTTTTGTTTTTGTTGGGTTGGGTTGGGTTGGCTTTTGTGGTGTTGTCTCTATAATGGAAGGAGGAGAGTAGAAAAGGAGGGGCGTATTTTGTAGTAAAAAAATGAGACCTTGACAACAAATTCCACGCACCCCACAAAGCAAGATCCGACCAGATATCTTTTCAAATCTTGCAAATTTTCCAAGTTGATTACAGGATTGAATTATAGGGCAAGCAATGCATAAAAGAAAAACACAAAGGCCTGATAAATAAAAGAATAAAATCTACATGGGAAATGTTAAAGCGGAGGAGGAGATTGGGGGAGGTGGGTTTTACCTACATGGCCCAGACCACTACACAGAACATATAAGGTGGGAGTAGAGGACTCTATAAATAAGAACGATGGGGGGAATGGGGAAAACAGGGAGGAAGTCTTGGATGAAAGCAAAAGGGAAAGCAAAATACATGGAGAGAGAAAATGAATAGAGGGGTGGCAGTGGGACCCATCAAAATCCCCCGAGAGATTCAGGTGATGTCAGCAGAGGTGCCTTTTTCTCCCTAATGTGAAATCATGTGGCTCTTACCATATCTTGAGCAGAGGGAGAACGGTGTGGTCTGTGGGCAAAGAGAGGCCAATTTTCTGCCTTGATTCCCTTTTAAGATTTGCTTCCCATGCCCATACATCACGCCCACAAGCTCATAGCATCACAAACTCATAGAACATTGCTATCTTTTCATTTCTTTATGTCCATCCTTGCTGCCATACATGCATCTAACCAGGTTCCGGGGAGCTGGCAATTCAACTCTTAAACCAATGAAAATTAAATATTGAATGGCTATTTTAATAGTTCCATTAATTTTCCGTTGGCTTAGTGCTTCCAAGTAGGGTTGATGGTTTTCTGTTTGTTTTAGTTTTAGATTAAAATCAATAATCAAACTGGAATTTCTGAACAGATTCTAGTTTGAGGAGAGGAAATTAGGCTTTTTTTTTATAAAAAATTTGGTTTAGGATTCAAGCTTAACAGATTGGGTTTGGTTTGAATGATTTTAGAAGTATAAAAACAACATTTAGTTTGAACTTTTTATTTGGTTTTTTTAATATTTTTACTGGTTCAGTTTTTTAATTATTTTTTTATTTTCTCAGGTTTTTTTTTTATTTTTTTTCTCACCCCTACTTCTCATAGTAAAGAGTGTCTTAGTATGGTTTTTAAAATATTTGCTTAATTAACTCACATTATAATTTTGAAAAAATTCTATGAAAACTCTCTTTAAACTTCAATTGAAGAAATTATAATTTTTTTAAATTTACCTTTTCAAGTTCCAAAGGCAAAGCACTAAAGTCAAGCAAGTGGTATATGGATAATTCTCCTATTAACATTTTTTTTGTTTTGTCTTAACAAATAGAGAATTCTCGGATTTTTTATATATTAAATTTAGGTTTCATTTTGATGGTAAAGATCATAAATAAATTAACTAAATTAATATATTTTTGATGTTTTTTTATTATTTTAATATCATGGTGTTAAAAATAATTTTTAAAAAATAAAAAAAAAATATTTTAATATATTTTAAAATTAAAAACATTTTAAGTAACAAGCCCTATCATATTTCCAAGCATCTTTAATCTTTTAAAGCCATTTCCAAGATCATTCCCTTATAACTTTCTGGAAAGCCATCAATTTTCTTCAAGATTGTTATGAAAATAAGTCAACAAATTCTACGTCAAATATAGTTATGATAAGACCCAAAATATTTTGTCTACCGTGCTATAAGATTTCTACTACTATTAGTAATTGTTTTTAAACTCCACGTGAAGTTGACCAAGACCAAGAAAAGTGTGAAGGGATTAGCGTTAATCCGGGGTAATCTAATTCTTTTTCTTAAATGATTAAATTAATTTTTTTAAAAGTGATAAATTTT